AACACGTGGCAGACCTGCAGGGGAGGAGGTGAGGAGGAGCCGCCCAGAGGCAGGAGGGCGCCCACGGAGGCTGGTGGACGGGAGACTTGAAATCTGGCCAGTCAGCCTTCAGCCCAGTGGTGAGATTTCAGCTCATCGGGCTCGGACACAGAGAGGTCCAGGTCCCCACAGAGCTGAGTGTGCCCCGTCATGATGCAGGAAGGGGAATGGCGTGGACGGACACGGAGGAGGAAATGACTCAATTATTGACAGTGGCATTTTGTTGGGTGAGAAGAATGAAGACACGGCAAAGGGAGCTGATGTCAGTAAATAAGCCCTCAATTTAAGGGACGTTAGAGCTTGATAAGGCCAAGACTTAGTGCAGTGTAGGGACACTGGGGCGAGCAGGGACATTAGTGGTCAGATCTTTGAAGAGTTTTAAGGTTTTTTCTTTGAGACAGGGTCTCGCTAGGTAGTTCAGGTTTATCTTGAACTATGTAACCCAAGCCGACCTTGAACTTGTGGTGATCCTCCTGCCTCAGCCTCCCAGGTGCTAGGATTAGAGGCATGTGCCACCACGCCCAGCTAGAAATGGTTTGGAACACTGCTAGTGACAAAAAGTGGGAGGTTGCAGTGCATGGCGGATGCGGGACACTGATGGCGGCTCAGCTCGACAGGGACCCCTCTCCTGGGGGGAGGGAAAGGTGTGTGTGCAGGTGTGGGGTTCACTAAGTGTCACGATGATCACGGCGAGGGCAGGGTTTACAGACGACAGAGGTGCTGTCACGGGCAGGACTGTCTGCTACAAAGAGATGTCCCATCCCAAATGGCAACAGAGGCCTGGCTGAGAACATCGGGCTAGAGGACTGGACGGGCCGTCTGTGAGCGCTGAGTCATGGAAGGGTGACACGAAGTGTGGAGAGGGACAGTGGGTGACAGCAAGGGGAAGATAACCGGCAGAACCGGACGGTGGGGAGGGAGGAGAGACAAGTGATGTGGAAACAGTACACGCGCTGAGCAAGGGAGCTGCTCAAGGGACAGCTGGACTTCACGTAGAGCGGCATGTTTCTTAGCACCAGAAAGAGTGGCGTCAGCTGAGCATCCGCTGGGGCCTCCAGGGATGACAGAGGCGGAGAGGGACAGCCACACGAGGGTGTGGCCGGGCAGTCACACGGGAAGCTGGGCAGCCGAAGTGGTCCAGAACCCTCAGCACCCGGATCCTGCCACTCTACTGAATTCTGGAGGGGAACGGACTACCAGGCCCATCCTTCACTCACTTGTCCAGGCCGACGGTCACTTCCCACACGGATACTCATGTCTAGGGACAGAAGAGGCACCACACAGAACCACGCCTTACGGCACAGAGCAGTCACGGGAAGCTGGGCAGCCGAAGTGGTCCAGAACCCTCAGCACCCGGATCCTGCCACTCTACTGAATTCTGGAGGGGAACGGACTACCAGGCCCATCCTTCACTCACTTGTCCAGGCCGACGGTCACTTCCCACACGGATACTCATGTCTAGGGACAGAAGAGGCACCACACAGAACCACGCCTTACGGCACAGAGCAGTATTTCTCATACATTAATGCAACTACCCGGGGACCTTGGTGAAATGCTGATTTGCACTCAGGAGACCTAGGGTGGGATGGAATCTCCATTTCAGAACAGCAGTGCGCCTTGGTGCAAAGCTTTACAACTGGCTAAGGATGGACTTCTATGCCGTTTGTGTGGTCTTGGGCCATGGCCTCGTGTGAAGCAGGAATAACCTAAAAAGCCACTGTGACAACTAAACGGAGTGCATGTAAAAGTACAGCACAGCTTCAAACACACTGCAGGGGTACAAAGTAAATCTTTTTGTCTTCAAATTTTATGGTTTTACGACAAGTGATTATCTTTTTCTGTATGTGGAGACACTGGACTTCTGTGCATTATCAACTACCTGCCAGGGGGAAAACTGGGCCGTTTCGGTAGCACCTGCTGCTTCTGCCAGAAGAGGAAGACGTGAGTCTTCTTTGTTAAGAGCCAAGTCCGGCAGCCCCGGTTCCCTTGGATCAGACTCTGGCTTTGTGGTCTGAAAGCCCTAGCCTGAATGGATACGTACTGGCCACCTGGACTGAACACCGGGCAGACAAACAGGAGTCTCTCGTGCCATTTGAGTCTGGCTTGATACTAAGTCAAGGACTAAGGACAACCCGTATGACGTATGGCTGGGGCTTCAGAAGCACCTGGAGGTCACCCAGGTACCACATGCCACACACCATCTGGAAGCTTGGGGTCTGAGGGCAACAGGCTGGCACCAAAGTTTCCCTAACCACAAGGTCCACCAAGGGGCTAGGGGTGAGCGTACAGAAGAACCAGAAGAGTTTTTCCAGGGGTAGTGGGTCAGGTGTCAAGAGCTCAAAATGGTGGCCTTTCCAGTCAACAGTATTCTCAATAGGGACCACGAAAGAAGCCTTCTCGGGTCAGGGCAGGGCTTCAGAGCTCACTGGGAAACAAAAGCTCCCCTGGTTCTGTTAAGATTCTCATCTTTTTAGCTTCCCCTTTGGCCTTGACAGCAAGAAAAATTCTCAATGTAGGTTCAAGGTATGATCCTTTGGGAACACTTTCCTTTTGGGGAAGGGATCAGAGAGAGGATTGGCAGGGGTCAGCAGCTGTCCGGGTTTTCAAATCCATAAGGAAGTAGTCATTTGCCACTAATGTAACTCTTCAGAAGTGTAGCAAGAAGCCATTAATCCTTATTAGCACAGACTTCTGTAAAGTTAGAACCAGGCTACCTCCAGGATAATGGGAGAACTTAGGGTAGACAATAAAGGAAAAACAACAAAGCGGCAAACCTCCTATATCTTCCAGAATACCAGGCACTCTTTCCACGGGCAAAACCCTGAAGTTATTTTACCAGGTCTGAGTTGGTAACTTCCTTACTATTAAGAAACAGTACCAGACTGGGGAGCGGAGTGTTCCCCTTTGGTTCCTGCTCTTGAGATGAGAACAGATGAGTTATTTACTCTTACTCAGTAGGGTAGATAGGCAAGGGTAAACCATTATGGACCTTACTCACTTGTTCACTAATACTTCAAGTGAAGTTTTTGTACTAGTGGATGGAAGTATTACTCAGCTAGGAGTGAAAAGCCCAGTGGAAAAAGGGGAAGCCTCAGGTTGGAGGAGGCGCCAAGCAGAAAAGGTGCATGGGAAAGAAGAGCCTAATCACTCAGGCTAATTTGACTGCGGCCGCCACCACTGCATGCGAGTGTGTTGGGACTTTCCTCTGTAGGTTTCTCCCTGCTCTTAGGGGAGTCCCTTCTGGTCTGCCTGCCTTGCTTCCGTTCTCTGGAATCCTGGGCTGGCACCTGCTGCTTTCAAGCAGGAGTGGCTATATGCTCTTTGACAGCTAAAGTGCTGGCCCATGGACCTCAGTGCACAGGAGAACAAGTAAGTGGACCAGTGACTACAGGAGGGAGATATGGAGAGGGCGTGGCCGTAACTCCCCCCCCCACGCAAACATACAACAGCAGTCTTAGAGGTCAGAAAGTACTATAAAACATTTCTTATAAAAGTATTTTTAATAAATCGATGTATATCAATGTTTTAACATAATAGCCCAATGCTATATCAAGGTAGCAAAAGTGAAGATTCCTGGTATTTTTATATAAACACTACGAATGACAGTACACTTGCATTCAACTTCACAAGATGGTATCTTCAGGTCCATGAAGACTCTGACAGCCGTAACACCTCTGGACAACAACGATGTCTGTGTGTGGACTGAGCAGGCGGTGAAAGCCTCACGACCGAGCTGTGCTTGCAAAGCACACTGAAGAGAAGAGGAGCTGTGGCCGACTTGCTGAACAAAACTCAACTTTTAAAATAAATACAGGACGTATCAAGTCCACAGGGTATCTCACAGATAGAGCCACAAGAAGACACACAGATCAGAACCCTGAAGCAGTGAATGTGTTTCTACCCGTTTTGTGATGGAAGAAGCCATGGAAACCGGGTCCTGAAGCTGTCTGGTGCTGAATCTCCTCATTCACACAATGTTATCGACCGACTAAAACCAGAATTCCCTGCTCTGTACAAATGCTGGTGATGAGTAACTTTCGCCATTGCTGTGGATCAGAGCAATAGCTGGCTGGAGTCCAGGCATCAAGTGGAGCCCTGTAAGATGGTACCACCACCTCCCACAGTCCTTGACTCACACTGTCCAAAGCAGATGCCCCTTCTTAGGGTAAAAAATATGAGATGCCTTTGGGTAGAAAACCCCAAACAACAAACAAAACAAAAAACCCCAAGGGCCATTAAAAACAAACTATAGGGCCGGGGATAGAGCTCAGTGGTTCTGCTGCCTGCCTCGCAAGCGCAAGGTCCCAAGTTCGATGCTCAGTACCAGAAACAAAAACAACAAAAAAATCAAACTACAGAAGCTTCTGATCTGCTAAAACCATTACTACTGTTTAACCCATCAGGAAAAATGTTTCACTCGGTTATTATAATAGAAGTTTATCTGATTCCATCGATTGCATGTATTCTAATGACCAGGATTTTTGACATGAGATTTTTTTTCTCTTCTTCTTTTTATAAAACAGAGATCAGGTTAAGAACAAGATTCTTTTCTTGCAGGGGCAAGAAAAAGCAGGTTAAATGTTAATAAAATCCATTCTCAATTTAAACTGTAAAGAAGGACTGGACTTGAATGAGACTTTCTAAACACAGACATTACCTTTTTTCTCTATTTCAAGTACAATTAGATTACAGGGAATCTCATGTCCAGATTTTTTTTTTTTTTTTTTTTTTTTTTTTTTTTTTTTCATGTTTTTTTTTTTTTTTTTTTTTTTTTGTCTTAACGGCAATGTTTTATTAAAGGTAGGAAAAAAAAAAACAGGCTCCGTAGAGTGAGTTTGGGCCAAGCAAAAGAAAGAAAAGAAGTATACCCTATAGGCATGAGAGCGGGCACCATGCAAGAGAGAACACGGTGGCCATTTCTGTTCTTTGTGACAGGGTCTTCACTATGTATTCCAGGCTGACCTTGAACTTGCAGTGATCCTCCTGCCTCAGTCTCCCAAATGCTGTGATTACAGGCATCTGCCACCACAGGCAGCTGTATGTCCAAAATTTTATCTGATAATTTTTAGTGTGACAATTGGCCACAGGCCAGTATTCCTAATACCTTTTTGAACTAGTTTTAAACTCCAAATGCTGCAGATGACAGTAAATACAACAAAACCATTTATATGTTGACTTGCTGAATTGTAAATAAGCAAAGATCAGATGTCCCTGGCTATTCATCAAGAAGTGTCTAACTAATGGCCACTCCTTTGGGTCAGTAGCCCACATTTAAAAATGTATATTTGAGAGGATTGGAAAAAACTATAATCTATATTACTAAAAACCCCCAGGCCAAATGCATCAGAACATTTCCTATGTATCTGGCTTCTGGTGTTAGGACTCTTCTTTTAGTGAACCACTTAGACTGCTGGAGCCTAAGTGCTTTGTCTTAAGTCTCATGTTTAGACCTAAACCAAGTCAACATTTCATAAAGATCACATATTCCATCACATCTCTTAGAGCAAGTACTCTACCCCTAAAGAACAGAGAGTTACAGGTAAAGGTTTTTATCGCTCTAGAAATAGAATAGTCAAAAAGCATAAAGTGGTTTCATCTTCCTCAGGCCAGTATTTATAACCTAAGGTTTATTTTCCCTATCAACAGGGTGTGCTTAAGTTGATAAAAACCAATCAAAATCAGCTTATGGAAAAGTTAAAAATGTAGTTTACTGAAAGATATGTATCATCACAGAAAGCAACAGCAAATGATCTAATCTAAAAGTTTAAATAAATGTAAATAACCTTAAAACTAACATCTAAAGCTGAAGTCACTGCCTTAGATCATTTATATACTGCATCCAATATTTTACTTAGGACATTCATTCTTAAGGCAGAAAAATTCAATTTAACATATAATGACTTGGTTCTTACATCCAAGGGTCAAACTGGGAGTAGGCTTGAGCAGACAGCATCCTTGCTAATGAGGATTTATCTCCGACGAAAAATTCATTCTTAAAGTATGTGAGGTAAGAGAGACATACATCTGAGAGAACATATAAAAGATGAATGTTGAAGACATACAAATAGGATTTTTCAGCAAGAAGTCAATGAGAATAGGCATTCTTCTATGAGGTGAAACTACTCCCATAACAAAATATGCTTTCTGATATGGTACATAAAAAGTATGAAATATTAAAGAATTACTTCAATGGAGTATGTTTCTTTAGAATCTAGTTTTCAAGGTCTAGTATAAAAGGCAACCTGAACAGTGAAAAGCAGATGAAAGTCAACTCATACTGCTACTCAGAAGGCTACCACTTAGGATGTTCCTATCCCATGAACGAAATCCTGTGTGGGGAGGACATAATGATGTCTTAAAATAAAAGTGATGCCCCTCCCCCAACATGTGTGCAAAAATACTTGTCAGTTACACGACTATCTTCAACAAAAGAAATCTTACAGAATCATAGGCGCCAAAGCCAGACTGACACAAGACGACCACCCTTTTGGTGGACGGATATTTGGGATGACACCTACTGTCCCAAGGGCACCCTGGGAGATGTGCTACTTGGAGTGGGAGAAAGGAGGAAATGACCCAGGGTCCCAAACCCTCGGGCTGTGTGTGCTCCTTCACAGCAGGCCAGTTTGGTTTGCTGCATCCTGGTGCCAAAAACATTAACAAAACAAACACAAATCTAAAAGAGAATTCCTAAGCAGGTGATGGCGACTGTAACTGAGTAAGTACCTTTTTGTGTGCCTATTATTTATGCCACAGCTCTGGCAATTGTCAGGAAGTGTACAAAGATTACCTGCCTAATTTCTGAAGATGAGGATTTTCTTCTTTCAGGCAGCAGAAGTCCATGCAAGATTTGTAAACAGCGATACAAAATACTGTAAACATAACTTAACAGAGCTTGTATAAAACAGAAGAAGTAAATCCAAATTTACAAGTGGATAAAAAAAAAGCAGGGGGCAGCTTTGTACAAAGTTCTCCCTCCTGCGCCAAGTGATTTTTTTTTTTTTTTTGATTACAAATATAATCCTGAGCTGAAAAACTGGGATTTGGGGGAGAGCCATCTTTGCATACAAAATATCCAAAGGATGCTTACTCTGTTTACTTTTCTCTAGTGATATTCAACTGCGGGAGACAGTTCTGCAGGGTGACTTTGGAGATATTTATAGTTTAGTGTGGCGCCCGGGTCTGGAGCCTGCTGCAGTGCTCGCCATGGCAGCAGATGCAGCAGCATCCTCCGCTTCCTCCAGTTCATCCTGCAGCTCCTGGCTGACGCTGGACTGCAGGGCTGCGGGAGTGAGCCACTCCTTCGGGAGGCAGCTCTGTAGAAAGGGTATGCAGGAGCTGAAGTAGGCGAGCCGATTGATCCAGCGAGGAATCTCTTTCCCACAAAGTATCTACAGAGGAGAAGGAGTTCTGGATTAGAACAGAGGCTAAACAAAGTTATCTGGTCCGCTGCTGCGGAAGTGCGGGGCAGGAGGAGGGAGGGGGGCCGTAAAGAAAAGCCACTGCAGACCAGCTCGGTGCTACCACTCCAGGCTTCTGATAACAGGAGCCTCCCTCTGTCAATGCCATTCTTTCCTTTCTGAAGAACCTTGTCAAGCTGCTTGCTTTTAAAAGTAAAATCAAGCTAATTCCACTTGGCTTCTTCCTTTGATCCCTGAACTGCTTTGAGACACACATAACAGTACTCTGAGCACAGAAAAGAAGGCGCTTGTCCATGAAGATGTTATTTAAAGAAGCCCCAGGTAGCTGTGAGAGTCATCTTGGATCGTCTCCTCTCAATGCTCCTTTTCCAAAGCTATTTTTCTCCTGTCCTCTAGTGTGGATCACTTCATTTTTACTGGTCTGCACCGTACCCTTTTACTCCTGTCCACAGCTTTGTTTCAAGGAACTCATCCCGATCCAGGAAGAAGCGTCCCCACGTGAAGAGCTGGCACGGTGACTCCTCTGAAGAGGCAGGGCTGTGTTGGAACAAAGCACCAAAGCCGGTCCTGTGTCAGTCTGAAGACTCAGGTGGAAATGGGTGTAGCTCATGGTGTGCGGACGTGTGCCCGTTTCTCAACCTTCCACTGTCCTCTTCTGGACCCCACCCCTGGCCATTTCAGTTGGTGAGAACTGGATCTGTTACAAACCTACTCTTCATTATCCTCCCCCTTTGCACACAGCACTGGGCCTAACTTAGCCCGTACTCCCTTGCTCCTTTGGTGTTTCTGCGTCTAGACATGACAAAGATTATGATAGTTAGCTGAAAAGTGCCCTCTTAAATATCTGTGTATCTTACTGAACTTGGAAAGAGGTTTCAAGGTATATTATGCCCCCAAATTTAGCTAAAATTTAAATAAGCCGGTACCTATGAATGCAACATTAACTTTTCTCTCCAACAATTTAGCTTTACCCCTTAATGATCACTATATTTTAAATATTATGTCTCTTTCTTAACCATATGTAAAGTGAGGTTTTATTTGAGGTAAGGTAGTGTGTGCTGACCATTTTCGATTATCCAGTATTTCTCACAGTGCCTGAAGGGGCAGACAAGTATTTAAAAAGATCTGAAGAATGTGTGCATGGACCAGCTCTGGGAGAAAACTGGGCAATGACCTTATGGAACACCATTCCCACCTAGCCCTTTCTTTTTGGATGGTGTTTTGGATCAAATGCAGAGTCTTACAACACCTTTCTAATTTTATTTCTGTTTTGTTCTGCTACCAGGCATTGAACTTAGGACCTTGCACTTATGAGGCAGATGGCAGAACCTCTGGGCTAATTCCCTGGCCCCCTTCTACTTTTAAAAATACATTTGCAGTGTATTTGCAACCTTTTATACCTGAAACACATTTAGGAATATCTGCATATCTGGCAACTAAGAGTATTTAGGTTAATGTGACAGCCACTCTGCCTATTCAACAATCATTTTCTTTCTGAGCTCTAACTTTATTCAGCAATCTTCCCTCCACATTTCTATGTGCTACAGGTGAAGCTGATTTAGGGCATGGACTGATTACCCTAAAATAGTTCTGTAATCTTCTGCAGATAAAATTTTACTGGACCAGCCATGTCTATTCCTTAGGTACTGCATATGACTCTTGGGCTACAGTGGCAGGGCAGAGTTGAGCTCATAACCTGAAATGTACTATCTTTTTTTTTTTTTTAATAAAAAGGGAGCAAACCCTAGAGTCAATATTTTGAAAACTTTCAGTTAAGACCCATTAGTAGGTCATTTAGCATTGCATTCTGAATTTTTAAAATAAAAACTGTCAAAAAGATAGTCAAAAGTGAGGTAATGTGACAATAAAAATAGGCATGTGTGTGCACATCCACACACATAATCTGGGTTATAATTTTTTTGGGGGGGTACCGGGGATTGAACTTGGGCCCTTGCATTTGCAAGGCAGGCAGTGGCACCACTGAGCTAAATCCCTAGACCTCTGGGTTATAATTTAAAACATTCATCTTACTGTGGCTAGTGGTCAAATAGTCCTTAGTTTACAAAGCAAAATGCCTTTTGCTTTTAAGCTTCAATTGAGCAATCCTAAGAATCTATGTCAGAGACATGCTGGTCAAAATACAGAGAGGTATGTACAAGGGTATTTAAAAATGATGTCCTACACTCATGGAGACCTTTTGTCTGGAAGGAACATATTAAAGAGGAAAAAAGTTGTTGTTTTTTTTTTTTGGTTTTTTGAGACAGGGTCTCACTATGTAGTTAAGGGTGACCTGGAACTCACTATGTAGCCCAGGCTAGTCTCAAACTCACAGTGATCTTCCTGCATCAGCCTCCTGAGTGCTGGGATAATAGGCGTGACCCACCACGCCCAGTGGGAAAAAAGTTTTCAAAGGGAAATATTTTTATATGACATAAACAGAAAGGCATACCCATGTTAGGAACTGGTCAAAATCATATCCTGAATTTTCATAGAGTTTCAAAATGGGTTAATAGAATCACTTACCTCTTTCATTCTGATCCCTGGTCTAATGAGTAGAAAGACCATTTCGTTTCTGGGGACAATTACAATTAGTAATAAAACTGTCTCATGAAGATGTGTGCATCAGAAGAAATGTGGAGGAAAGCAAGGCTATCAGCCCACTGTCACAAATGGCAACTAATCTACAAAATTCTGAGTCTAGACTCAGTGACAAATCCCTGTCAATTGTGGGCAGAGGAGACCCAGGTCCCAGTGATGGGCTTTCCCTATCACTTGTAACTTGCTGCAGTAATCAAAAGTCAGGAACAAAATTAGTCCACGTACTGGGAACACCAAGCTTGATTTCAGATGGTTCTGCCAGGGAAGTAAGTGCTTTCCTGTGTACATGTACAAGGGTCCCACATGCTTCAGTCAGCAGCCATGTTTATATAGCGAGGGCCTTAGAGTATGGTGTCCTAAAACTACAGTGATTCCCACACAGAAATCCTGTTCCCTGAGCCTGTATCTTTTAGTTTAACTGAGACTATGCAGAGGTCAAAACCACGGATAGCAGACCATGTCCAGTTTTAGCTTAAGAGTCAAGTTCAGGGAATTAATATCTATGCATTTCAGGGGAAACAAACAAAAACAAACAACAACAGCAAAAAACCAAAAACCAAAAACCAAAGCAAAGCTACAGGCCTTTCTCTAGCATAATGCTGAGATGCTGCAGGGCCAAATACATTGCCAAGTTCAAGTGACATGAAAGGCTTTTGCAATCCCTTTCTAAGATCCACTCAAAAAATATGTATGTCAGGCTGGTTAATTACCAGCCGAACATTTGATTTTAGAAGAGCTCATTAGCAACTTGAAAACTGCTTTGAAAACCATTACTAGCGAATTTCCAAAACATCAGAGTAAAAATCACCACCTATGGAGATATTTTTGATACTCAAATGACTTAAATTCCTGCACACTCTATGGCAGCAAAAAGTAAAGAAGTTGTGTCCCACTGACATTTTCTTCAACCTCCTCCCTACCTTTTAGAGACACAACCTTTGAATGAATTCCCTACATACATAATATCCAGGGTCAAAAAAGCTCAGAACTACCTTTCCCCCTTCCCTGCAAACTGACTACATCCCTTCTGCGGTACTGATGCATCCACAGACTGGCAGAGCAGCTCAAACCTTCATCTTCCTTCATAGGAATCACCTAGAGATCTCGCTACAATGAAGAGTACGACTCAGTACACACTAGTGGGGCAGAGATATTTGGTCAACAAATTCCTAAATGATACTGCTGGTCCATGAAACACACTGACTAGCTTGGTAAGGGACCACTGCAGCTCTGTTGGAAAGGGGATGTGCAAAGGGCCTGGTAGCTAAGCATTTCTGCATAGAAGTCACTACAATAAGTAGCTCATTTTCTTCTTTACATTTTCTGCAATTTCTGTGGTACCCTGATGCTACTAGTACAACTATCTCCTAAGAGTCAAAGCTGAGGAGTCATGTGCTATTTAATTCTCTAAACTTTATTTTCATTTCTTTTCTCTATCTTCTGTTTGGGATTCAAGACTAGGGAAAGTGGGCTGGGGATTTAGCTCAGTGGCGCTGTGCCTGCCTCAAATGTGCAAGGTCCTGAGTTCAATCCCCAGTACCAAAAAAAAAAAAAAAAAAAAGGGAAAGCAACTTAAGTGCCTGTGTGAGAGGGTGAGAGGTCAGCAAAATTTCAGATAGGAGAAATGAATAACTCATAAATAAATAAGGGCCAATAAAAAAAAAATTTCAGGTTGGCAACTAAAATTCCACAAGAGAAATTTTTGCAGCTAAGAAGCATCGGTTTCCTAGGCAATTTTTCTTACACTGAAAAGTTTCAAATTTGCTATGTTTGGCCCTTAAATCTCCCGCAATGGCTCATGTGCAAAAGGCTTAGCTGCCAGCCTGTAGGGTAATGGGGAGATGGCAGAACCTTTAGAGGTGAAGAAGTTAGGTCACTGGGACTCTGCTTCCTCCTTCTGCTTCCTGGACACCAGGAGGTAAGAGTGAGAAGCTTTGCTTTCCATGTGTCCCCACATGGATGCACCATGTTATTCCAGGCCCTCAAACAACACAGCCAACTGACCATGCACTGAAACTGCAAGCCAAAATATTTTCCTCAGATATTTGTCTCAGCCATGAGAGATAACACAGTGGTAATCAAATTAATAGAGAATAAGACTCACTCTCTACCCACTGCAAAGAAACAATTATCATTTAAAGCTATGCTGACTCCCAATCTCTCAATTCTGGAAAGGTCATTAATGCAACAGAAATACAATACTGTGTTTCACACAACACGAATAATCAGAAAAAGAAACAAATCAAAATTGAATACAGTGAGACAGTGAATGTTCTAGCAAATGTTATTTATCTAAAGAACTTTTAGGATAAAATTATATTTACCTCTGATAAAGCTGAAGAAAAGTGATTGCAGTTTTTATGCATTAAATGATAGGCATTGCCTTTGTATTCTTTTCCCAGTTCTTCTACAATTTTTTCTATATCATCTTCTAGGAAGTCAGTGCTCCCTAAAACAACAGCTTCTCTTGAAGAACAACAATAACAACAACAACAAGGAAAAAAAAAGCATAGTTGTGTGAATTTCAGGTATTTATATTAAATATACTTAAATGTTTGCTTATTTCCAGGAATATTATGATTGATGCAACAAATAAGGGCTAATGTAGGCTTACAGGTAAATGAGATACTTTAATAATTTCATTTATTTTAGTTTTTACTTTCTGCAATAAATTTGTAAGTTCATCATTTCTGAATTATATAAGTGCACAAGTTAAACTGTTTATAAAACTTGTCTTTAAAGAACCATATCCAAGCTAAAAATATTCCTGCTTAATTACTTACACTCACCAGCAAGAGCCAGCCATATTTTCACTTAGAAACAATCAGTTAAGTTATCTGTCACTGGGTGCAGTGTAACAAATTGTCAAACTTGGTCAGATTTATAAAGCATTATTAAAAAATACCAAAAAAGAAAACAGACTACCCTACTGTAAAAATAAAAAGCAAAATTTTGGTCAGATACAAGTTAGGCATCAAAGAAGGCGGAAAACAATTAGAAAATCATTTTATCAAGTAGTGTTTCCAAAAGGATGCCCTAGGGAATGGATTCAGGAAGTGTAGCATTACTGCACTCCTCTGTATAATGTTTCAATTCACTAATAAAGAGAGCCATAAATTTAGTAGTGTGTAAGCCCAATATGGAATTTCTATATTATCAACTCATTACATTATTTTTCACTTGGCAAGTTATTCAGTAGTTTCTTTAAAGCTTCTGGAAACTAGATTGTAAAGAATACTTTAAATAGGGCTGGGGTTTTAGCTCAGCAGTTTGGGGACCCGAGTTCAATCCCCGGTACCAAAAAAAAAAAAAAAAAAAAAAAAAAA